GTGAAACAGCTGTGTCGTCATCAGCGCTCCTGCAGTCGCTCTGAAAAAGCTGCGCCAGCTGAGTCAGCCAGCTGCTCTCGAAACGCTATCGCGGTACTTTGATGCCACACGTGACAGTGACGTGGCGTCGGCGCCGGTTCAAGTCGGACTAAATTTCTAACCGACATTCACTGCTTCAAGTCAGCCGCCGATCGGTTTGCGCGGCGCCGCATGAAGTCGAACGCACCTATTGTCTGTTTAGCCCTGCCCACCGATTCTACATCAATGTATGTTTAGCCCCGCCCACTGATTTGCGCATGTAGTGTTTACAAGAGAGGCGAATGTGCACGTCTACGCAGAAACTAAACGATAAAGATGCTCTGAAGACAAGAAGACACTGTGCAGTGCCAAGCTGTGGAAAAATTTTTTCCGTGTTTGTGTTGCCTTCCTTCTGATCCCAACATTAGGAAAGAGTGAATGAACTTTATTTTTAAATGAAGATCCAAACCGCGTCAATAAGAACTCGGTCCTTTGTTCACTTCATTTTACTGCGGATTCGTTTACAAACAAGGCACAATTCAACACAGGATTTTCAGAAAGATTGAAACTAAAAGACGACGCTTTGCTGACTATATTAGATCCGGCAGACCGTTTGATATGTTCTGAGTTATTTGTGTTTTTAATCTAAATCACAGCAGCGTCCATCTGTGAGGAATGTCGCTGTCAAACATACACAATTGTTAGCCAATCACAGCAGTGGGCGTTTACTTCAGAATCTACAATCCTCCACGCCTATTCAAACAGAGCGTTCTGATGAGGGGGGTCAGAACAGGACAGAAAATAGCCTATTACCTCTAAATTATGATGTTTTTTGGTGTAAAAATCTTGATAACATTATAAGTGCACCTCAGATAACAGTACAAAATTAAAAAACAAACTCAGTTCATGACCCCTTTAAAAAAGTTCCGTTCGTAAAAATGCTACATAGATGTTTTTTTTTATTATTTTAAAACATGTTTATTGGCAGTGCATGCTTATCTAGAAAAATAATGTAGTCCCTGTCTTAATTTACTGGTAAAATCAGACTTGGCATTATCAGGACTAACAAATTGCAGTTTCCCTATTGCGTTATCATACATCTTAATTTTATACTTTACACCTGGTTACGGTTAGAACGTGTTGTGTGGACGAACGGGTTAGGAGCGTTTTGTGTGGTTAGCGCTAAATACAGGTGGAAACAAGGTCTAAACTATTTTGTGATTGCATAGCCTACCTGCTTTGTTTACTGAAGCCATTAATCAATCAATTTTAAAGTTATTCAAACCAAGTTTTTTTTTTTTATTCATTAAAAAGAACCAATTAATTAAAACAATTCATTTGTGAATCAGACTACGCTGGCCATGTTCTAAATTTTTGCGAGCAGCCTGCAGTTTTGGGCTAAAGTTACTTTTTTGGAGTAGTATTACGTTACTCCATAAAATATAGCTAATTATGTTATTTACATTTTATGGAAAGTAATGTGCTGCATTACTGTTGCGTTACATTTTCAAACCTCAGCTGGCTGTGGCTCTTTCTTTCAGACAAATATAGCGTTATACTGGGGTTGCTTTATGTAATTTAGTTTTTTTTAATCAAGTTATTTTTTGTAAGTGTAAAGGCCCATTCACTGCAAACAAAGTAAAAAGGCAAGACCGAGCATGTTTGTATGATTTAGATTTGTTTGTTTATTTGTTTCACAAAAAGGGACAGTGTACATTAATCAACATTTATGAATGTAAATGTACCCAAATTAACACGAAGGCTAGTTTTCATTGGTAGTCCTTTTACCAGGTGTTATTAGGTGTAAAAACTAGAGAAAAGTGGTTCAAGTATTCATTTTGACATACGTTAATGGAAAACAAAGAGAACATGTACCATTTAAAGGGGTCATATGATGCTTTTTTAAAGATCATTATTTTGTGTATTTGGTGTAACAGAATATGTTGACATGCTTTAATGTTCAAAAAACACATTATTTTTCAAATACTGTACATTATTGTAGGTCCTCTATGCCCCGCCTCTCTCAAACGCTTCGTTTTCTACAAAGTCCCTCCTTCCGACAAATGCAGTCTGCTCTGATTGGCCAGCTGAACCAGTGCATTGTGATTGGCCGAACACAGCAAGCACTCGTCGGAAATGTAACGCCCCTTACCATAATCACGAGCTTCATCTTTCAAAATAAATGTAAAGACAGAGCAATGTCTTTACTCTGGGGAACAGAGTCGCGTGACAGACACAGTGATGAAGCTCTTATGTATTTGCAGTACACAAGCCGCGATTACGAAAGCTGACTCCACTGTGATGTGATCCTGTCTCTCTCTCTCTCTCTCTCACACACACACACACGATGCGCAAAACTCCGCATTTGAACAGTCAATAGCAAATACTTAAACTAATAACAAAACAGTAGCTGATTCAGAAGCGCCAGATTGTCATAGCAAAGTCAGAATGACCTCCTCTCCTAGGTTCACGAAACGGTCATCCATAAAATGCATTGCTGTTCTGTTGTAAGTAATCTTAAAGATTCCTAAATGCATCTACTTTCGGAAGGCCAAATAAAGTGCTTTTGCTTTCGCCTAGAAACACACAGCATCTCCCTGACATGGCTGCTTCAACACTAACTGCGGTTACTGAAACCACGCCTTCTTTCTTTGCGTGAACATTTGGGCGGCAAATTACACAAATATTTCCACATAGTGAGGTAGATATGTGGGGGCGTGTTAGAACAAGCCGTTTTAGGGGGGCGTGGCAGAGTCTTAACTTTGATAAAGAATATCTCTTTGGTTTTGAGACTTTAGTCTTTGCAACTTCAGGGATCTTATCTATGCACAATCAGCTTGTAACACTCGAAAGAGAAAGGAAAACTTGAAATCGCATCATATGACCCCTTTAAAATAAAGCTTAGAAGTGTATCTTGTTTTTGCATAAGATCTCTCCCTCTCTTTGACAGAGTAAAGAGGCGAATGCGTTTACACAGTCCTCGACTCTGGTCAAACCCATTCCAGTAGGTGCACTTTTAAGAAGCATGGTCAGGTTTGATGTATTGTTTGGTGTCAGTAACATTATGATTGATGTCTCTCTATCATGTGAAGGCGGGGCCAGCTGTCCAGGGGGAGGAGTCTTCACTGCTGCTGTCTCCTAGTGTGTTCCAGCATTCAATGACCAAGACAGCCGAGCCACTGAAGAACCCCGCCTCCCCGACGTCTCCCACAGCAGACCTGCCCTCTTCCCTGTACAGTCGCACCCAGCTTAAAGATACGCTCATACATCTCATAAAGGTACAGACTGACACATGCACGCTCACAAACCAACAGTGAAGAAAGACTCGTCCATCAAATCACTTTGGTCTTCAATTGTCTGCCTATATTTGTTTGCAGAATGACGCCCATTTCCTCAGTGCAATCCATGAGGCCTACATACAGAGCCTCTCTAAAGGCCTCAACAACATCAAGTTATAGCCACAAACTGAGAAAACAAAACGTGCCAGCTGGAGCCGTCTCAGATTCAGCGTGAAGCTTGACTACATCCACTACATTGACTACTGATCGACTCACCCGGTGGCTCTTATGCTGCCCTGACGAACAGCAGTTTCCCAGGCTGCTGTGTGCTCTCTCGCTGAGCTTTCCCACTTCAATCCTAATTTATGTCCATCTGCCAATCTCATTTTTTTTTAGTCATTTTCTTTCTATGACTCCCAGCACAATTATGTGCAGTTATGTTAAGGGACTTGTGCAATACGAAGCATTGCCTCTTTGGAGAATTGCTTTTCATTTATGATCCTGCCTTAGACATGGATATGATACAGTATCCCAGTCTCAGTAGTGTTTTACTGTTAAATCAGTATTGTGTTGTGCAGCATTGGGATTCTTTGAGTTCCCGGCATATATGGATTTTGAGTAGGATGTGCACTTATTTCCTCTTTTCTTACAAACTTGGTTGTTTAATTTGGCCAGAAAATGAATAAAGGTTAGTGGAGTTAAACTTTTTTTTTTTCTCTTGATACCACAGTTGAATTATTGTGTGCAGGTAGTAGACTCTATAAACATCATCGTATAGTTATGGTGCCATGTATTGCTTTTTAAAATGGCAGACAGATTGAAATATGAAATAGTTTATTTAAAGTGAGATGCATCAAATCAACATTTCAGTGTTCCTGAACTAAAGTGTCTTGCGTATCAGCTACTTTAAGACATAATTCTGCTGTTCTGATGTTCTCTGTATCAACAGCAGGAGAACTGTAGTCTGTGTAGACAACCAGAACATTTAACATAAGCCACAATAGGTGCATTTAATATATCATTAAAAGTAGAATAATTTTTTTTCTGCTTGCACTACTAACTAGTTCATGGTTTGTTTGTTTGTTTTGACAGGAATTTTGTTTTTTAAATTATGTTATGTTTATGTACTTACTGCTTGTTTACACTTAAAAAAAAAAAGTCTGTCTTGAAAGGGAATTCCTTTACAGGGTTTTTTTTTTTGTT